AGTGTCCTACCTTCTTGGAAGTGTAAAATGTATATACCCACCCGCAAGCTTCACAACGGGCTCTTAGATGGGAGGCAGAACCTTTTCTCTCTCGAGGGTTGTCTTCAAGTACGAGGCAGGAACTGCCACATTCCTTACAACACACCTCACACACAAATTCTGACATTATTTGAAGGTCAACAAACCGATAGCCACTTACATCTGTGCTTTGGCTTTGTTCGCTATAGCTACTGTCATCTGGAATGTCAGAAAACCCAATTTATCGCTTTCGCGGTGCAGCTCATATAGTAAAATAAATTTATGAAGACCAATACTCTGGTGGCAATGATAGACCGGGTGAGCTCTGTTTTCTGTGTGAGGACCGTATTATAAGAATTATAACATACTCCGGTTTGGATAAATAAATGGCAGTGTGCCAAAACACAATGCCGGTTTATTAAGCAAATGTAGCAAATTACAGAAAATTGTTACAATATTTTATAATTATGCCAAGCACAGAAAAGGTGGGGAGCTAAAAAACGCCCCACGTGAAGTCAATTATAAAGTAGGAAACGCAAAAGGGGTCAGTGGAGGGAGGGTGAATGAGCGATATTCAGGCTGAGAGTCGAAATGTTAAATCAATGACCTTGAACTAACAGTTCATGCTCACTTTTATACGGTAGGCTCACGTATTCACGTGAATCGTGATATGTAAATTTACTGAAATGTCGCAATATTCCACGGGAAAATGAACAGGTTGTACAAGTTTAATTGCGATGAATATATGACCAAAAACCCCATTCCACGTTCCCCACAATCCTTGAATAGCCCCTATAATCCCCACGAAAGCAATAAAATGTTTATTCGCTTAAGCAAATAACTTTTTTTTTTGGCTGAAGCAGATGTATTTAGAACAGCTTCATTTGCTGCGGAAGTTGAAGGATCGGCCGATATTGTATCCCCATCAACAGTATCAACGCGTTTTTTCTTCGCTGAATTATCATAGCGATTGCCGCAAAACTTTCGTTTCTTACTTCTCCTGTATTCCCTTGGCATTTCACAACAAAAATAATAAAGTGAAGCAACAAAGACCAATCCCAAAGCGCAAAAGTTAAGAATGATCTTAGCAACAAATTCACCGCGAAATATGTTGATTCAACTTTGTATAGTAAGCGAAGGAAAATATGCAAAACAAGGGGATGGACGACGTTAAAAGTGGTCAGCAGCTACTAGAACTATTCTCCTGTATGGGGGAGGGGTGAAACAAAAAGAAATTTTCATACACCAACAAATAAACAAGTTTTCTAACAGTAAACATTGGTTGCTAAGCCCGTTACTAGGGGGAAAATATTATACCTTCCCAAAAGAAAAGGGATTTTTTCGAGGTCTGCGTGAACTTTTGAGAAAAAAGCTAATTGTACATCATAAAACAAATAACAAAGATTGCAATTAGTCAATTTTTAGAAAATGGCAAAATTCACGATTTTCATATTTTTCCTGTAAGACCACCTAGTTAGAGGTTTATTTATACTATACTGGCTGTCCCAAAAAACTACTCCGGTTTGTTTCCAAATAGCTTCCAAATTAGTAAAGTTATCAAGTTTGATTAGTTATGAAAAGTTGCCGTTTTTCGTTTTAGCGGAAGTCCGGTTATTTGTGCTGACTTTTTCGTCATATTTTGTACTGTGATAGTTCTTTTAGTAGTGCAAGTAAAAACAAATCATAAATTACATATTTATAGCTTTGTTTAACAGGAGAAATGAATGCAGTTACAGTAGGATCATACATTGATTTGTTGTGAAATTCAATTGTAACTGAACTTATTACCAGCCAACCTTGCATAGACATAAGCAAGGAATGAGCAACCTACTTACCTTTGGCAAGTCTGTAAACACCAGACTTGCTCCATTAAATGTTGAAACCTGGGCTTTGTGCTGTTGTTCTGCCAAAGCTCTTTGAACAAATTGTCGGAAGGTTTCCTTTGTTACACCCCGAACAATGCTTCCCTGAAAACCCTGAAGAACCTCTTCAGATGTGTAAGTTGGATATCTATATAGGATAATAAACATAACATGTTTTGTTAGCTTAAATACAAACAATTTTCCTATCATACTATGATGATTCTGGATTTTAAATTTAATTTTTGTAAATCATGGTTAGAATAGGCTTGTATAAGTACCTTACAAATTTTGCACTCAGAAAAAATTGGTGAATAAACAAAATCACCAGAATGACAAGAAATATTTTCAAAGTAATATCATTTAAGAAGAAATTCATTCAAGAAAGGCAATCTGTTTGCTTACAAAGTAGTTTTGTAAAGCTTGCATTTCTTTCAATCTATAGTGATCTCTGACTCCATTTCTGTCAAAGAGAACTCTTTTTCTATACGTTTTTTGAGCAGGTTAAGTATTTCGTCCGGAGTTGGATCACCCCTCAAACATTTCAACTTGATGTAAAGAAAGTCAAACTTGCATAAAAATGCAGTGCCTTCTTTCAAAGCTTTTTTAGAAGCCTTCTTTCCTTTCAATTCCATTTTTGCATACGTTTCCATGTCATTCAGCAGAGAATCATAAACTGCATCACTTAAATCGCTTGCCGCAAAAAACCCAGAAAGAGCCGTTTCCTAAAAAAATATAAATCATAACCAGAAAATGTTTATTCTTGTATTGTTTATAAGATTTAGCCACACCGTACTTCATAAAAGTTATTTTAACTTAAATTTGTGTATGAATATACAACTGCATGTGTTCCAGTGAGCCATAGCAGTCAGTCATATATGGATCAAACATATACATGCGCCTGTGTAAGAGTATACAACTTTAAAATATACAACAAAACTTCTTCGTTAATTTACCCACTTTTAGGAATTGTATATACTGTAAGATAAATTCGATTGTAACTTACGCTTTCGCCAATAATGGTTGACATAAGGAGTCTCCGTTCTGGACACTTCTTTCCACTAAATTGGCAGAAGTAGGTTCTTGCACAATGCGACCTGTTAACATACGTATCAGTTATATCAGTGAGAAATAAAGTTTTCTCGCATCAATTTGTGCCCCAAAGTTGATGTGGCATCAGATAGAGAATCAATTGGTCTTGTATTCACAAATCGATACGAGATGGGGTTAGGATTTGACCAGGTTAATGGTAAATGGTCTTTATTACACATATTAATAGCAGTTACGCTAAATTATTGATATGTTTACACTTTTGAGAATAATGCATTAATGTTTAAAAATATGCCTGGAGTATAAAACATTATACTAATAAAACTTCCTAACTATTAAGATATACATATATACAATCGAGTGATCATCAAAATATTAATAAACCTTATTCTAGGAAGTATATATAAATCATCTAATTCTATAGGAAGTACAAAATGAGTTTATAATATTTACAAATTTAAACTACTCTTATATCTATTTATTGCATATACTAGTGGACTACGACTGGATCTTTCACTTTGACATGAGATATTGTAGAGTTTCTCTGGGTTTGTTCTAGTTTCCTTGCCTCTCATCTCCGAGTATTTTTAGGGAGCAATACATGAAGGTTATGGGACTGTAGTAACATTAATAAGGTCAATACACATATCATCCCTGCGCTCTTGCAGCGTCTTTAAATTGCATTCTTGTAATGCTTGATCGTATCCATATTCTGGGAGGATTATCTTCATGGCACGTTTCTGCACTCTTTCAATGTCATAACGCTGTGCTTGCGTCAAGTTTCCTTGCCATACTTGTGAGTAGTAATGTACTACTCACAAGTTTATCTTTATACTATCCCATTCGTATGTACATAATATGTACATAGTAATGTATATAGAAGTGTATCTTTATACTATCCCATTAAAAAACATTTATATTGTTTTACTAAAAACTCTTTGTAAAAACTTTCTTGTTAAAATAAATTATTTAAACAAAAAATGTTTTATCGTTTAACTGAAATCTCTTTGTAAAAACATACGAAAAAACATGGTTAACGTAAAAAAGGGAATCTTCTGTTAATATGAAAACAGGTATGACATAATAAAAAGGGGAACCCCCCTGTTAATATGAAAAAAAGTATGACATAATGAAAGGGGAATCCTCCTGTTAATTAATATGAAAACAAGTATGACATAATAAAAAAGGGGAGTCCCTCCCATCGATACAAAATATAACACGAAAACATTTAATAAAATGTTTATTAAATATAAACCTCTATTGAAAAATATAGGATAAAAATCCATAAGTTCGATATGAAATAAACAACTAAACTCTACCTATAAATATGATCACAAGTCCGACGTCTTTTAAATCGTTCGAAAACATTCAAAAACTAAAATCCATGAGTTCAATATCATTTAATCGTCCTCGAAATTCCTATCGTCCTGAAAACACTCGAAATCTAGGAGGTCCATCGAATCTCTGCATGTACTTCTTAGTCTCTTCGAAGGGATCGGGAAACGTCGCTTCGCCTGTGTCGGGTCCCTCCATGCTTGACTCCCCAGCGTTTTGTTCTCCCCTGCTTGACCTTCGACGCTTCGTTCGTCGTCGTCCTCGTCGTCGATGCTGTTCCCCAAAATGTTAACGTTCTTCTCCAGACGCGCAATTTCTCTATGAATCTCGTCTTCGATGTTCATTATCTCGCTCACCTCCGTAATCGAGTTCTGCATCGAAGACATGTCTAAACCGCTATCGTCAAACAATTTCAGTTTCCAGTCCATGGTCTTCATGATATCTTTCACGTGTGGATTAGCTTTCGAAACCTCACGAAACACTTTCGAATACTCGTGAAATATTTAGGGATATTTTCTTCGTATCCAGCAGTTCAACGGTCTATTAAATCTCTCTTCGTCTCTCACTCTCTTCTTTCTCAATTTCTCGCGAACGTTTCTATCCAATTCGCTCTTCTTGCGACCCATACATTACTACATACATTATAGATAGTATATACTTACAGGCGTTGAGATTAAGATTCGTCATCACCGTCCTCATCATAACTATAATTTACAATTTTTCTTCTCTTTTTCTTAGGTTTCTCTTGCTCTTGTTCATCATAGCGACGGTAGTATTGAGGGAAGAATCCGAATGTGCTTCCAGAGGCGCTAGAGAGAATTCGTGACGTGACGCTCGTGGGATTTTGACTGCTGCAGTGAACACGTGTTGTGTTGGAACCTTGTCTGCTATACTACTTCATGAGGCGCTTGAATCTTGATTTTTACTCGATTCTTCTGAACTACTTTCATCACAAACCTTACTAGACGAACTACTTTCCGCACTTTTATATTGATTACCACGAAACCTGCGTTTTTCCCTGCATTTCTAAAAAAATTTCGCTTTGGAGGCATTTCCGCGGGTCACAACTTTCCTTGGAAAATATTAGTATTGGCTTGGTAACCTAGCATTCAGAAGTGGCTAGATACCAGTCTCTCGAAAATGACACTCAACTTCAAATTTGAATAAACAACAAGCTCAAATTGATCATTCTTTTGAATAAAAACAATATCCGTTTCCATGGCAACTCGAAAATAGCACCATATACTATAAAATCTCTAAAATTACTGCGATAACGCTTTCTTTTTGGTTTCAAACATGTTTTGCATGAAAGAGCAATGATTTTACTATAACATAATGCTGTTATGATTTTACTATAACATAATGCTGTCATTGAAAAATTGAGTTTTTCATTAAATTTTTAGTGTTGAGCCTATTAAATTGTTTTACTTCTATTATATATAAATTTGTATCCTTAATTTGTTTACTTTATCTTCTTTATTGCTTTCCGAATGCTGCGGAATTTGTCACGCAGACTGCTTGCTGTATTTGGACAACAAGTCAGTCATTGAAACTTCCGGGTCCGTTATTAGGCATCCCAGAACTTCGTTCACGCCAGCATTGTCTGACAAATTGATTGTCGACTCATATATCAGACTGGCTTTTCTCTGTGAATATCTCGCTCTTGTCAGATTTCTGTCAATATCAATATCTCTCTGAAATAATTGGTAAAGAGATTGGTCACGGGGTCATCCGAAAAAAGAAAGTCTAAGAAAAATTGACAAGGCATCTTCACCTTCATCTTTGTCTCCAGGTTCATCTTCATCCCCATCTTCATCATCGCTATCTTTCTCTAAAAAATTGGCAAAGAGGTGAGTCATGGAATGACCCAATAAAAGAAAAACTTTGAGAAAAAATGACAAGGCATCTTCATCCCCATCCTCATCACTATCTCTCTCTAAAATAATTGGTAAAGGGATGGGTTTCGGAATCACCCAAAAAAGAAAACAGTGTAAGAAAAAAGTGAAAAGGCAAAGGTAACTTTTTTTAGATAGTGAACAACTGTCAAATCGCTGTGGTTATTGTTCTCGACATTGTGATAGCGATCGGCAGTTTTCACAGAATGGGTCATCTGTCTCGCCACATTCTCTTTAGAGACCGCGTGTGTTTCTTTTCCCCTGTGATGAGTGATTATTGATTTGCGCAACCTTGATTGTATCAAGTTGCCTTGAAGACTCCCATGAAGTTTCTCACCCATACGCTGGACAACTTTCGATATTGCGCTTTCGGACATTGGTGCCCCAGTGGACGTTAATAGACTGCTTCCTCTGCCACCACACCGGGTTTTGCAGGAATATTGGAAGATTTATTTGCATACTGGGGGCGGAGTAAGTCCAGACATGTGTCAGCCATCTCCTTCAGCTCCCTGATCCGAAATAATTTCGCTGGTCCAAGCGAATATTTTTTGTTCATTGTAGTCTCATTGCGATAAATGGGAGCATTTCTATTGGTGCTAATGTTGAAGCCTTTCTGTAATTTCTCGCCGATAAGTTTGATAATGCTCCAAAACGTTGGCCACTGGATAATAATTACCTGGAGCATCAGAAAATCGCGCAATCTGGCATGCAAACTCAACTTTTCCCACTGCATGGACTTTTCCTTTATTTCTCGAAAAGTCTTCTTTATACTTTCAACTTCTTCCCCCGCTCTGAGTCTTAAAAAGTCTCTTTAAGAGAGAACCTCTTTCCGGCCTTTCTCCCTCTTTCACCCTCACGTTGAAATTTGCTGACCACGAATCAATCCTGGCCAACGCAGAGTTGATGAGATTCTCATGGCGATCAGTGAATTCGACGACTCTTTTCCCTCGTTGGCCCTCGCCAACATAAACCGTAAAAAAGCCGGAGGGTTGACAATATAGGTTTTGAGGGTCTGGGGCTAAAGAGGTTGTGGCAGCTTGTCATTTCTAAGAAAGAAGTTATTTCTTATCTTGTCAATTGACATGTCTTGGCACAGGATTGAGACATTTCCCTCAAAACTTTCCAAATGGTTCTGGAAACCATCAGTGACTGCGCTAGAAATTTTTACTGCAGTTTTGGGTCTTTTTCTGACGTATGCGATCCACCAATAAATTCACCACAACTCGAACACTCTTTGGGCTTATATCGATTGAAATACTCAGCACTGCATTTCGGCATTGCCATCTGCCACGTTTTTTCTTCACGGGAAGTTTGCATATGTCTCTCAATTTTCCAGGGAGCGGGCTTCCCCGTGGTTTGGGTGGTCTCAACATGTTATACAGATCCTCGTTTTCATCGCTGCCCTTGTGTAGCATCATCGACCTTTCTCATCCCACTTTCCCTCGATCTTTTCGCCGCGATTATATCGTTCATCCTGTAACATACTTCATTAAATTAATCTCTGAAAATGTGTTTGCATGTGTTGCTTGATATATCTCGATTGACTGTATTGCACAAAAAATAAGCAATAATTGGACTGACTCTTCCGGGTCATTGTTACTGAGATTGTGCACATTTCTGAGGTGCTTGTCCTTCCGGCACACCATGGCGGAACAGTCTTCAATGAGACAGAGAATTGGGGCCCGTTTCTGGCACACACCTGCCTTCACTGACCTCGGCTGCCGTCTTGCAACTTGGCTTTCTTCAGCCTTGGTCAGCTTGTGTGCATGAACGAGGTGGCTTGAGAGATACTTAATCTCCTTGCAACACTCCGGGCATTTTTTCTCTCGCCTAGTTTGGACCTAAGGAAAAATATAAATTTTTAATGAAAGTTTAATTCAAACCACATATTTGGAAGGAAAAAATGTTTGGCATACACTTTTTTTTCCTTCGTCACTCCTTTTGTCTTTGCTAATATGTTTGAAAAATACATTAAAAACGAACACTTTAAAAAGAACAATTTAAAACAGATGTTCTTTGATTAGATTCTACTTTACCACGAACCACTTCATGTCAGTCACTCAAATTGTTTCCAAAAATGAGGAACACACAGGAAGGCACAAGGGAAATTTCTTTTAATTTTGTGTATTCGACAATAATTAAACCTACTAAGCTGCCAACATCCTCGTCATCGGCTGGCATGCGTAATTCATTAGTGCAATAAATTTGTACATCTTATATTTTACATACAGTCAAACGACATGAGTTGTACAAAGTACACAAATATAGTCAAAATTACATAAGGTATTTTTAAATTTGCATTATATGACTTACCGTCCTTTCCGATTTCGCTGTAATATTATACCATTTTTCTTTTTTGTCTGATCCTTATAAGCTCTGAAAGAAGTATTACATAAACATGGTTCTACTTGTACCAGCCCTCGCAAACCGCCAAAATTCAGGTCGGCAAAAAAATGCCGACCTAAATCTGAACTGGGTCGGCATGTCTCGGCATTTTTAAAAATCTTTTCCGCGCCTTGGAGCATTAGTAATCACGCATTTGTGAAACATTGAAATCGGAATATAACTTGAACGTACGTTAACTCCAGCCAAAAGCTATAGTCAAAAGTTGAAGCAAAATTTGTCGTGTACAGTAACAGAAATGGGAATCGTAACAAACATTATCAGTCCTACGACTGGACGACATAATAACAACTAAAGTAAAAAATTTTGTCGCAATCCTGTTTTGTTAAATGTTTGCGGTTTTAGTTAACATAGTCGTAGACTAATTAATTGTAGGAGCTTTTAATTTCAGCTGCCTGCCTCTAAACTTTTAACTTTAGTAATTACAAAACAGTGAATCTTAAACGTAATAAGACTGTAATTTAAAAATGAAAATTAAAGCCCAGCAAAGAACTTTCAAACAAGACATAACAAAAATACAAATTATGTCTTGTTTGAAAGTTATTTGCTGTGCTTTAATTTTCATTTTTAAATCACGCTTTCCGCCTGATGTATCAATCGCTATTATAATAAGACTGAATTAAATCTTCAAGAATTGTCATCGTCACTCGAGTTACTTTCAGACCACTGAGACTCGTCATCTGAAATTTCCTCGAGAGGGATTTCGCGCCGTGGCTGTTCCGCACTTTCGTCCTCCTCTGACGACGACGCCGACGAATCGGACGATTGCACTGCGTCGTTAAGTGCCTGTGGAAACGACTTGGTTGAAACAGATTTTTGTTTTCTTGGTCGCTTTGCTGGTCGATGCCCATCCAAGCGTCGATGGAGTTGGCGTACATTCCAGAAGGGTGTTCGGATAGGAAGAGCTCGATTGCTCTTTCGTAACGCTGTGGGTCGTAATTAGTGTCACATCTCAAACGCAGAACATCCAACATCACATCGTTGCCGAGTGATTGGCGTTCTTTACTGAAAATACGCCAAAGGAAAGAGAAAACTCTTTCTGACTCCGCATTGCCGATCGGAAGTGCGATGCCAAGCTCAATTACGTGCAGAATATTTTGCACTCCCAACGCATGTTTCATAGCGAAGATCTGAGGCCAAGCACGTATAGGCGTGACACAGGGCAAGAACTTCGTGACATGTTCCCTCAAAATATCTAGCTCACACTCCAGCTTGGTTAACTGGCATCCGTTTGCTGTCAGTAAGCTCTTGAACTTCGTAACGATCACGGAAACTTTTAAAAATAGCTCGTCGCATGTTTTGTACAAGTATGCTTGGGTGTTCAAAACGTCAGCAACCGCCAAGAAAAAATCGTCCTTTGTGATGGAGCTCATCCGCTCATCAAGCGTGGCTTCCAACTTCTGAACAATCTTGCGGTATTCGTGAAGACACTGACGTGCAGCAGTCTCCGCACTTCCTTTGATCACATAGTCGAACAATTTTCGACATTATCGGTAGCAGCCGAGCGTAAATGTCTTTCAGGAATCAGGTTGGCAACTTCTTGCTTTATTGAAGAGAAAAACGACGAACATACAGGGAAAATATCTACTCTCTCGAAAACTTCGGTACCATAGCTTTTTCACTGTTTTTTTGTGTAAACGAACAGTGTGATCAGATCAGGCAAGATCAGTTGTGTATCCTGCAGAACCTTTGTCATGGGGCTGATTCCGGCCAAGATGTCTTGCTTGATAGCATTGAAGAGAATATGATTAGTTTTCGTGATATTTCTAAGAATTTTTTGCAGTTTAGGTACCACCTTTTTCATGGTGTCGTTGTAGGGATTGGCGATCTGGTTATTGCAGTATCCAATTAGAAGCGGAAGATTAATATTGTATGACCGTAACGCTGCCGTTTGATGCTCGTCCAACGAGTTCCAGTTGGGACGCTTATATTGCAGGTAGTGAAATTCAATGCATCGTGCGTGT